GGGACCAGAGCTCATGTATTTAACTAGTCGGCTGTAGAAGGGTCTCTCGCGCAGCTCGGCATAATGCTCCCGCAACAGCTCTTCGGAAGCCTAGGGGAGGGACAGCTACCTGTACCAGGGCCCCGACCCTAGACCCACTAGCTCCTTTGCCCGCCCATACCTGCACTAGTTTTAGTGCCACCAGCTTGAAGCCCTTTCTCTCAAAGCGACGCACGATCTCGCCCACCAGCCGCCGCTGCACGCCGTCGGGCTTCACTGCCAAGAACGTGCGCTCGTTCACGCCGCTGTAGGCTGCGAGAGTACAGACTTAAGGCATGCCCTACCACGCACCCAGACCGGCCCCAGTCTGCCCTGGTGCTCACCTGCGGGAAAGAGGTTAGCGAAGATGGTCAGCACCAGGCAGATCATGGCGGCGGATGGGGCGGACCAGGCGGCGAGGGGGCGTGGCCTCCCTTAAAGGACCTCCAGGCGCGGGTTCCGCAGTCCCAGCACATTTCAGCCTGGGCACAGCCCCAGAGCTTGAGTGTACCAGAGCAACAGGCACTCTGTTGCGAACCACCGCCTTCCCTGCCCCGTCCTGCGGTACCCACGTAATGAAACCACAACACGGGCCGCTTCGTGCCTTTATTTCCAGACCAAAGTGCGAGTAAGAGGCCGCCTGAAACCAACAGCCTGTCAACTGCCCCACCATTCAATGGGAGGTGTGTCAGGGCTGTAGGGTCTAACTCTTCACCAAAAGGGAGATCTGGCACAGTCAAAGACACTTGTCCATCAAATGACTCAAACGACTTCTCTGCCCGTCCTGGCAGTTAGACTGGGGTGCCCTTGGCCTTCCCTTTGGTCTCCTGTTTTGCAGGATAGTCCCAGGGATGCACCCGAGTCCTCTCCAGGTTCAGGAGCGGCTCCTGGACGCTGGTATCCCCGTTTTTCTGTCGTTCAGCGAGGATCATGGCCCGCAGCAGAGGTGGGTAGGGGACAGGGTTCAACCTATCCTCTGGTTTCGCAGTGAACGCAGTAAAGGCCTCCTCTTCGTGCTTGGGTACCAACCGCCAATCGTGGTACATGGCATGCTCGATTTCCCGAGCCTCATCCTCACTCTTTCCTGGGGAAAGAAGACAAGCTGACTGCCTGATGGTTGGATAACCTGCGCACCATGACAGGCTCCAACTAGCACCCATCCTTACCTTTGAAGGTCAGGATGCCCCAGGCCCTCCCGTGGTCCAAGTTCTGCAGAACAAGAGGGGTAATTATCAACAGAGAGTCACTGCCACTAAGTTACGTAGGTAAGGGAGGCATACAGGCCCAGGTGGTTCAGGGTGGGTAGAACCAGCCGGTGTGGTCCAGGGTGGGCAAGATGAAGAAAGTGTGGGCAAGATGAAGAAAGTGTAGACAAGAGCGGGCAGCACAGGGAGAGAGCGCACCTGCGCCGTGTAGTCGGGCCTCACTCGCGTGAGGCGCCAGTAGCACGGCTCGTCGTGCTGCCATAGCCAGGACTTGCGGGTGACCAGACGGCCCAGGCCAAACAACGGGAGGCGGGCGAGCAGCTGTAGGAGGCGGCTCTCACGGCGCACGTCGGCCCAGGCGCGCACCGGCAGCCGGCGACCCGAGTGTGGCCGGGTCAGAGTCTCGTAGTCTAGGGCGTAGAGCTGCGAGTCTCGCGGCTGGTTCCGCTGCTCGCGCAGGGCGCGTACGCGGCGGGCCAGCTCGGCGATCAGCCGGGGTCTCACTCTCTTCCGCGCCATGCCTGTGCCCTTACGCCTCCGGAAACTTGTGCTTCAGGAGCTCTCCCGATCCGGAAGCGGTCGGTGTTCTCTACAAAAGCATCCGGGTACATCCGGAAGCTGTAGGAAGGGTGGACTATGGCAGAGGGAGAACCCAGGAGAGCTACGGGCCAGCGTCGCGGCCGGGGTCGGGGTCTGGGTCAGCGTCGACCTCAAACCTGGGAGATCTCCGACTCAGACGACGAAGGTGCTGCCGCTAGGAAGGTGGGCAAGCAAGCCTCGAGTACAGTAAGCGAGCACAGGACTGCAGCCAAGGCATTACGGGCGGATCAGGTCCTGAGTCGTCTGGCGGTGTGCGTGGACCCAGGTGCGGGGCCGGGGGTGGAGAGGCTGGGAACTTGGGGCTGGCTCCACGTCAGGGTGGCATCGTCATCCACAAGCCTTCATGGGAGAGGGTGAAATGACCGAGCTGTCGCCTACCGGGCCCAGCTATCCTGGAAGATGCAGGTTCCGATATCCTGATGGAGGCGTTGGGCACGCTAGGCTGTGAATGCCGCATCGAGCCGCAGCTCCTGTCTCGCAGCCTGCAGTGGAGCGTTATGAAGACCGACCCAGCCCCCAGCAGTGTGAGTGTCTCACTATCACCACCCTAGTGCCAGTCTTATTTCAGGTTTCACTTGGGCCTCCGGCTAGCGAAGTCTCTGCATCTATCTTTCTTGCCTCGCACAGGAGTAACCTAAAAGCTGAAGGATGCCCAGTCGCATTTCTTAACACAAGAAACCTGAACCCAACTGCTGCCAGAACCTCCTGTTGGCAATGAGGATGGGTTGTTCATTGAGTGGGCTAGTTTTGTAACTTCTAGGGAGCAGTCCTGGCAGGCCTGAACGTCACTGGGTGGAGAGCTGGAGAGTTATTGACAGTGTTTGGTGGCTGGGCAGTAGGGGTAAAAACCTTGGGCCCACACAGGTGGTTAGCAGGGTTGGCGATGTTCTCTACAGGTGCCGCTGGAGGTGTGGACTGAGGATGAGCAGGACCAGTTGCTGCTGCTGGAACCCCAGGAGTTTCTTCGGAGTGCTGTGCAGTTGACCCAGGTATCTGGGGAAGATCTGTCATTTGTCTTGTAGGGCTGGAACTACTATAGAGGTGTCGAGGGAAATACAAGGAAAACTTGCTGAGTGCTCTAGACACAAGAGGATTGAAGGTCCTCTAGGAGAACTGAGAATAGTGACCTGGGCTGCAAACCTGGCCGGGGGAGGGGGTGGAGCCTACAATTCTGGCTGGTAGTACCCCTATGCGCTGGCTGTGGGGTCTGCCTACAACGGCTGATAATCCCTCACTCGGCTGCTCCTGTTCCTCGAACACAAGGAGAACAATGCCTAGCTGATATTTGCCTGGAGTACAGTTCTGCTGATCTCTTAGTGGGTGCTACTGTCCAGGGGTCAGCATTTGTCAAGCACCTGCTGGGTGGCCAGCCAATAGCCAGCCTGGGTGTAAAGTGGATCAGAAGCAAGGGGGCTGGCTCACTTCTGCACCATAGCTGGAATGTGCCTGTGTATTCCTGGGCCTTAAGGAAGCAGAGCCAATCCCCAGAGAACAGACAAGACCTGGGAGATTCCCCCAGTTCTCTCTTGCCCCCAGTTTCTCTGGAAACTGGCCACACTGGTGGCTATTGCGTGCTGTCTACCGTGGCCCACCTGTGAGCAGGCGTGTGACGGTTCTTCTTTCAGACCACAGGCCTGCCTTACTCCATGCCCTGGCTTCCTCCCAACAGTCCAGCCCGCCTCCACCTGGCTGTCATTGGACTGGATACATACGTGTGGTATCGCTCTCCCTGAACCAGTAGGGCTGGCTTGGGTGGTGTCCCAGTAAAATGGGATTGCCTCTAGGGGCTGCTGTGCTACAGCTGGCCCCACTTGCCCTGGGTGGACCCTGCAGAGGCAGGAGACTTGGAAGCCCAAAGGTTCCCTCTGTTCAGGTCTCAGCAGCCCAGTTCTCAGAGGACATGGCAGCTAAAGGAGTCAAAGGAAGCCCATGGCAAGGTGGCCATCAGCTGGCCCGAGGTGGAGGAGGTAAGGGCTGCCACTGAGTTGAGTTAGATGGCTGGCCTCGGTTTCTGCACTTGGGTTGCTGTATGGGGCCTGTCAGAGCTAGACTTTGTCCCCACCATAATTGGGATGGCACCCCTCAGCAGACATCCAGCCCATACCCACTGTCACGCTCCGCAGGCCCTGGTGCTGCTTCAGCTTCACGCAGACCTGGACGTGCTGTTGGTGGCGTCATGGCAGGAGCTGAGTCAGTATGTGTGTGCCTTCACCAAGGCCCTCTCCCAGCGCCCCTCCAAGTATACACCCCCGCAGGGACCGAGTGGAGGCGGGACAGGGCTGGAGGGACGCACAGATGAAGGTTCTTAAGGTTCTGTCTGGGGTTCCCTCTCATTTCAGGCAGTACCGGGACTCCCAGGCCTTTTCCTTCTGCACAGCAGGGCACTGGGCCTCAGGCCAGCAAGTGGCCAAAGATGGCTCTGGGCTCCGAGGAGTGTGGTGGCGGCAAATCAGACAGTTCAACCGGGTCAGCCCAGCTGTGGCTGATGCTGTTGTCACCGCCTTCCCCTCACCCCGCCTTCTGCAACAGGTGAATCCCCAGTCCCCTTCCCAGGACTAGGGCCTAAAGCCTGCATACTCACACCTGTGCCCACTCTAGGCTCTACTGGACTGCGGCACGGAGCAGGAGCGCCTAAATCTCCTAGCTGACCTCCCCGTGAAGGTCCACAAAGGCAGGCAGCCCCGCAGGGTGGGACCTGACATTTCACGACGAATCTGCATCTTCCTGACTACCACCAACCCCCACCTCCTGCTGGACCTGAGCTCTTGATCACACCTGTGACATCCTTGGGCTTTTTCTTGCCCAAGAGACTGACTAGTCATTCCAAGAGACAGGCAAGGATTGGGCCCGACCAGCATGCTTTTTTTTTTCAGTCTGGGGTAGACTATTGTTCTCTGGTCAAATGGAAGCACCATGGGAGGTGATGGGGTAAGGGAAGCTGGGCAGTAGGTAGCAGGGGCCCTGGAGTGACTGGGGCTTCAATATGCCCTTGGCCTGGATCCTGGGTGCAGGAAACCTGGTAGCAGAACTGACTGCCCATGTGGGCAATTCCCAGTCCCATTGCCATCTGGAAGCTTAGGGTACATCCTCAGGAAGTAGTAAGAGACCCTTGGGAGAAGACATCTAAGCTGCTGGACAGACAGACACAGTGGAAGGTAAACCATAGGCACAGACAGCTCAGGCCTTATTGGGGACTGTTTTAATGTTATATAGCCTATGAGAACGAGACAAAAACCCTTCACAGGGCACCCACTGACATCTTTGTAATGGGCAGGAGCTGACAACATGCAGTTGCAAGTCAGGAAAACCCCAAGGCCCTGTGGGTTGGGACAGCTCATCTCCTTTTCCCTGGGCTGTGTTTGAGTCAGCTAGCATCCCAGGTTTATAATCTAGGTCCTGAAGTGTTTGGGCTGCTGTTCCCAAGACACATGGCAACTCAGAGCACACACAGGAGTGCTGCTCCCCCAGCACATGCAGTAGACTGGCCTCCACGCTCCATGGCCTGTCCTGGCTTCAGGGAGAGGGACAAGCCTGGACCTCAGTTCTTCCCTCTCCTGCTGCCCTTGAAGGGACAGAATAAGGTAGCCACGCTTCAGCTGGAGAAGTCAGCTTCTTTTGCAGCGCTTCCTCTGACAGGGCCTGGTCTCGGCGCTCTCGACACCAGTTGTGGCTGTGCCAGGAGGGGGTCCAGGGGACTTCCAGTGGTTGCAGTTCATGCTTAGGACCCAGCCTAGCTTGTTACGTAGCACTTGCTTGAGGCCAGGTGGCAAGGGCAGGCCCTCGAGGGTATCTCCTGAGTTTGGCCGCAGCTGGCGCAGGCGATAGCAGCACAGGTATTGCAGGGAGGTGGAGCTGGCACAGGAGCGGATGACTTTCATGCTGCTCTTGGCAGCTGTGGAGCACACCATCGGGTAGAACCTTCTGTTTTGCAGCCGGGTGGCAGCCACTCCTGGAAGGAAGACTCAACTTGAGTGTATGTAGGTCAGGAGCCAAGAAGCTCCTCCCATAATACACCAAGGTGAACAGCTCATGCCACTCTGAACACAAAAGACAGAATCACCTTGGCTTCACCTGTCCACCCTGGAGAGCCTCAGATAGGGCTATCTGACTGAGACCTGGTCAGGAAGGCACCCTCACCTATGCACTTCCTGTTCTTGAAGAAGGTCAGCGTCCCATGCCAGGTGTCCAAGTGTACGCCGATGATAGAGCCCTGGCCGAAGCGTGAAGAGAAAGTTATCTTGTCGCCTTTGTGATGGAGGAGCCCTGGGAGAGCAGATGGGTAAGCCTGGGAGGCCTGTGGCACTGCCGGCCCCACTCACAACCCAGGCAATACCCACCAGTGTAGGAGAGGCCCCAGCTGTCTTCGTCCCTGCCAAGCAGGCTGCAGAATGTGTGATGGTACTTGTCCAGGTCTACATCTGAGGTCCCGATGCCCACCATCTGAAACAGTGGGGCTGGGCTAGTTAGGTGCCTAGGGGCCGGGCCCATGGCAGCTACCCTTTTGGCTGGCCATTTACCATGTCAGTGCCATACACAGGAGAGGTCATCTTGATTTCCCAGAAATGCTGGCCATCCCCTAGCTCCTTGGTGCCCCGAATGGCCGCAGTACCACAGCTGTACTCCGTATGAAAGCTGACCTTGCGGTTATCACAGCTCAGCAAGGTGGCTGAGGATTTGTTCAGGTCATCCCAGACCCAATCAAAATCTGTAAGACAGAGGCCCCAAACTAGGCAGGGCTGGGGCAAAGCAGCCTTACTCTGGTGCCAGAGAACCTGCCCAGCCCCCACAGGCTCCGGTGACGGGGCACTCACCCTCATCCTCCTCACCACACCGGCAGTCCTTGCCACGGTGTGCTGTGTGTAGGCTGTTGCAGAAGGTAGCCTCATTCTGGCCCTCACAGTCACAGAAGGACTCTCCTGTCACGGGCACAGCACTGGGGATGGATGGTGGCAGGGAAGAGTACTCAGGGTCGGAGTCTGAGTCGCTGTGCTGGGAGGAAAGTGACAGAATGTTCTACTTATGGCAGCTTTCCCATTGCCAGGCTACCTGACCCTTTCTCACATCCTCCAGAGAAGAATCCTCCTGGGGTTCTCCAGTGTCCAGCATAAGCAACCTCAGTGCTAAAATTTGACTTCTATGCCTGAAAGAGCACAGTGGAATGAGGAGGTGTTCTCAGGGGCAAATAGCTTCTCACTTGACTTCTTAAAGGACTCTGAAATTCAATATCCAGCCCTCAGCACCATTTCCACACAGCCAGAAGCCTGGCTGCCACAGACCACACAAGATGGGGCCCTCCAGTGCCCACCTTGTGCTGCCGCCAGGTAGCTCAAGGTCAGCAAGGTCTAGCATCACAGCCTAAGACCTAAGCCTTAGGATGTATGCTCCCACCCCATGCAAGGTCACTGGAGCAAAAGGGGCATACACAATGAATCCTAATGGGCTAATGTAGCTGCTTCAAGCCCCAGCTGCAGCAAACTCCTCCAAAGATGCAGTCCATGTGGCTTGAGCTCAGTCCTCGGAGGTTGATAGAGGTGAAGACAAAGCAGGGCTGGCCAGGTTCCAGCTACTGACTTCCCATTCAGCTGCTCTGCAGGCCCTTGGAGCCCTGTTTCGGTGCTAGGCTAGCTGGCTCGGCAGTCTCTGGAGCTTTGACTTCTGCCTCCTCGGCCTTCCATGCCCTACACAGTTCATGACCCTCTATAACCTGAGCAGACCACGACCATATCAGTTCTGCCATCCACCCTGGAGTCACATCTATTGCCAGCCACATATCCAGCCCTGTTACGGGCACCAGGTGATCACTGCGATCCCTAAATGGAAGCATTCAGTCGCCAACAGAAGCTTGGACCAGATCTTTCACCCCCATATTCTTTTCACAATACTCAGGGCTCTCTACTGTCCTGTTCTCTGCTTTTTGCAATATTGCCAGCTCCTCAGGAAGGCCCCAAATCACACACCAAACCATCATGGTAGTTCAGTAGCATGAGCAGATGAGGAAGTAGCCAGCTAAGGGAGATTGGAAACTGACCTTCAACTCCAGGCCTGTATGCTCGAATAGGGGAGTACTAACTCCACAGGAAGCCAGACACAGGATGTTTAGTTAACCGAGGCAAACCTAGACCCCTCAGCAGCCAACCAGAACAGCTATCATGTCTGAAGGAAAGGCTTATAGGGCAGACCTTGTACTCGCTGGCAAAGATGGGATTCTCTAAAGCCAAAGCAAACCCAGTGAATCAGGAGTCAGGGTATACAGTCAATCTACCTTAGGACAGGAAGGAGGGATGATGTGGCTCAACCCAGCAAAGAACTCAGAGACACCAGGAACTAACTGCCACCTGACTACATGACAGGCATGTGTGTGTCACTGCTGCCATCCCTCAGTGATGACTCTGAGGCAGTAGCAGGCAGGCTTATAGGCTGCTCCAGGATGTATTGTCATTGGGTGTAGCTGAAAATTTGGGTTGACCTCTCAAGTTCAGAAGCCCCCACTGACCAAGTCAGTAAATCTATGGCTTCCAAGTTTTCCTCATGCCCATGTGAGGCGATCCCATGAGCTTCTAGAAGGGACTCTGTGTTGTAGGAAGCCATGACATCCGAGTAGAGGCGATACAGGGCAGGGCCAGAATACCAGTCCAGTAAAGCAAGACTGATGAAGAGCCCCCACAAGGGCCTAGTCAGGTGTATCAAGCTGGTATCTACCCTGTGCCCTGCATTCCTTGGCCTCCCTGTGCTTGGAGTCTGCAACAGAGGAAGTCTTTCAAAACTGAACTCAAGAACTAAAGATTAAAGAACAAAAACAAAAGCATTTGCCGATGGCCTGAGTTTGATCCCATGGGTATTATATGGTAGAAGCAGAGAACTAACGCCTGCAAGTTAGCCTGACTTGACATGCTCATCATGGTGCGCATGTGCCCACACAGTAAGTAAACTGCCTCAAGTCCAAGGCCAGCCTGTGCTACAGCGTGAGACTATTTCTAAAAAAAAAAAAAAGCTGGTGGTAGCACACACCTTTCATCCCAATGCTTGGGAAGCAGAGGCAGGCGGATCTCTGAGTTCAAGTCTAGCTTGGTCTAGTTCCAGAATAGCCAGGGCTACACAAAATAAAGACCACAGATCCTTTTATACACATGAATGTAAAGTGAGTATTTGTGTAGCAAAAGAAACATACAGGATCATCAAGATGGTCCAGCATGTGTATGCTTGCTACGACAAAGGACAACCTAAGCTTGATCCCAAACAAAGGTGGAAGGAGAGAGCAAGCCCACAAAGGAAGACAAAACTGTCTCCTGACATCCACCCATTAACTGTGTCACACAACAGTAAACAAAACAAAAATATCCAGAAGGTGGCTACCAGGTTGGCAACAGTTACTCCGGAAACTGGTAGGGCTGATGAACAGGCATCCGTTGTACACTGAGCAGCACTGTCCAGGACTTACAGGGATCCCTTCAGTCTTGATTCTCTGTCTCTCTCAGGCTACATACCCTTTACCAGGCCAAAGAGCCCTCCTTCCAACCTCAGCGACTTTATCACTCCCCATCCATACACCGGTCAACCCCACCTTGTCAGTGAGACCTACCTGCCCATCAGAGTCATAGCCCCAGTTAGTGGTGCCTGCCAAAGCCACGGCTCGGGCATCTGTGTCTCGGCGGGCTGCACTCAGAACAAAGTGCCATGCCCTGCTACTCCGCGGACGCCGGGCCATAGTGGAAAGGACCTGGAGAAAAACTTAATTGTAAGTCTTAAAGACACAGAATTTGTCAGAATACTGAAACAAGACCAATACCCACAACTCTACCCCCTGGCATTTCTGGGCCACCTGGCAGGCTAGGCCATAGACCCACCACAGGATGGGGACTCCGCGGCCCTGGACACTCAGCCTGGGCTCCAGAAACTCCCACAAGCTCGTACCTGGCTCCAGTACCTGAGCACCTCAATCAAGCCCAGGGCGATGGTGTGAAACGCAACCCAGACACCCATAACTCTGGAAGTTCCCCAGCTCATCTCTGCACTCCGTTCAGGAGCTGCTGCCCCTCGGGTATGTGACACTTAACTTGCTCCTCCTTCGCTGTCCACTTTAGCAAATGGCATCCCCAGCATCCAGTTCCTCATGCCAGAAACACAGCTGTCATCCACTCCTGACACCCCTACTTCCAACACCCCTGAAGTGGTTCCAACTTGTCGCTGGAGACCCACCGCTTCCTGCACCACACACCTCTGGCCCATCCCACCCCACACACCACAAACCCAGCTCAGTCTCGGAAACAACCTTAAACTCTACTCAGGCCTTGACGTCGTTCCTGGGACAAAATGCAAGGCTCTGGGAGGGCTAGATCTCCTCACCCGAGTGGACTGTCTGTCTAATAGTCGACTTCGTCCTAGTTGCCTCCCGTCCCCCGCAGATCCACTGCACTACCCTACCTCGCCCCAGTCACCCACAAAGGGGCCGAGCGCGGCCGCGCCCAGCACTCCGCAGCAGTTGGGCTGGCTGAGCGCCGGACAGGAGGACACAGTAGGAACCCAATGAATGAACCACAGACGTCCTGGGTCGCGGCCGCACTCGGCCTCCGCGGGGCCAGAGGCTCGCGGATCTCGCTAAGACGATGCGGCTGGCACCTGGCTCCGAGGTCCCCACCCAGAAACCCGAGCGCCACCGCTGAGGAACAAAAGGTGGCCGGTTTGACCGCCTGCAAGGTCAGCGCGCCACCAGCCGGGCCTGGC